CGCAGAAACATGGACGATGACGAGCATAGATGGAGACTTTGGAGGGTTTCGAGAGAACTATTCGTTAATTTGGGAGCTATTTTGAATAATTAAGTGAACAAGAAGAGGGAAATGTTTAGTAACAGCCGAGATTTAGATCATTTTAATAAAAGTAAAATATCAACTTTTTAAATGAACTTTTCTTAGTTACCACTTCTAAGATACTAAAAGCATTTTTTCTTGAACATCAACTATCAACATTGCAATCACATCACAATTTCCAACAGCCAAAAAGTGTTCCATAAGTCAAGTTAGCGATTACTCATCGCACAGGTGAATAACTTTATTGAGCAGAAACGAAGGTTAGGTAAAAGTTCAAACAGTTTGCCACTAGCAAGCAACTCGTTACTCAAAGCTTACAGGTATGGCCAACAACAAAATTGTAGACCAACTGCCAACGGTAGTGATTGCGCATTAAACTTTCTTGACGAAGTTACGCAGCCAATAGTACAGCGAAATCTACATACATATGCACACACACATAGGCATATCTAGCATACCATCACACAAGGCATACCTGCACAGTAATGCGCCTTTGAACTTACATATATAATAGGGCGCACTTGAGTACTTTGACAATTTAATTGAAATTATTATTGCATAATTTCGAAAACTTTCAAACGTAGTAGGTACAGTAGAAATTGAATTTCAAATTGCGAAAATGCCAAAAGAGCAACAACACAAAATGTACAGTAAAATTGCAGCAACATATATACTCAACTGCAAAAAAAGCAACTGCCACTGAGACAACAACTAAAGGGAGTATCTAAGCAGGAAATGAAATTTTCGAGTGTAAGCCAAGTTGTAGTTGAGTACTTTTCGAGTGTGTGGCGGGTGCGGGTGCGGGTGCGGGTAGATTGCGGGTTAAGCCAGCAGCGCAAGGAAGTTAAGCAGAGCAGCAGCAGCAACAGCAGACAACTTCACTTCACTTCAATTACTCGCATAGCAAACAACTTTTAATGTGATAATGACTCAAAAAGCTTAATGGCGAATAAAATGGAATGGCTGTGTAGCAACGAGTGCCAAAAACAAAAAAAAAAAACAATCAAACTTGGTAAGGGCGAGCTGGTGATGAGCTCATGATAGATGTAAGTACGAGAAGACAATCAAAAGCAACAATAAGAAAATAAATCGCAAATAAAAGCAATATTTTTCGGTTCGTAAATTAATGCTTCATTTGTGCGTGCGAGGGTGAGGAGAGTTTCCATTCATTCATCTGGGTGTGTGTCTCTGTTGGATGTGTGCGATTAAGTGCGTGGCAAACAATCAGTATTTACTGCAATTTGCGACAGTCATCGACGTATCAACTCGCAACTAAACGAGTATGTGACTTTTATGCGCCCAAAAGTATGCAACACAATTCAACACTCAACGCATTAGCGTCAACACCGTACGAACGTGATTTATTTGCGAAAATCTATGATGNGAGTATGTGACTTTTATGCGCCCAAAAGTATGCAACACAATTCAACACTCGACGCATTAGCGTCAACACCGTACGAACGTGATTTATTTGCGAAAATCTATGATGACGATTTGCAACAATGGCAACTTTTCAAGTGCAGCTTGGTGCTATGTAGCAACAAATACTCAACAGAGGTTTGATGGGATGTGGCAGATTCGAGTGTACACGCGCACAACTGTAGCATCATCATTACGCCCACAAATTAATGACTAAATCGTACTTCAACTACGAGTTAAAACACTTGAAAACATCGAAAACTTTGTGGGGAAATTTGGCGAATATTCGCCGCAACAAAGGCATAGTGGGCGCACATTTCACAAAATGAGAATAAATTAAAAAAAAATAAAAAATAAAAAACTTAACCCCTTATAAGGTGGTATTACACTTTACGCGCTCGCGCTTTTGCGAAATTGCTGAATGTTTTACACTTAAACAAATTTAATTAAAATTTGATGCAGCAACTACTCGCATGTATTTACTTTACTGCTGGCTGGAGTTGAGTGCACGCGCACTGAACTTAAGTGTACTTCGCTGACAATGAAAAGTTTAACTTAAAGTTCTCATGCACACACAGAGAGAGAGAGATGTGAACCCTTAAAAGCTGTGCAATAAATCTGCTTTATTCGCTGTGATCTATGTGGCTTTGGTCTGAATGCGTGCATAGCAACTACAGATTTCCCTTGAGCTCCGCTCATTACCCAAGAAAACACAAACTTTTTTAAATAATACAAAAGTTTTTTGAAAAGTTTGTAGAAGAGGAAAAATTTGCTTTTTATTTCGTTTTTGGAGATTTCGNATAATACAAAAGTTTTTTGAAAAGTTTGTAGAAGAGGAAAAATTTGCTTTCTTTTTCGCTGCAAACGTATTGTCTTTCGATTTAATTTTTATTTCGTTTTTGGAGATTTCATATGCATAGGTTACACTTTACGGAATGTCAGCGGAGTAGCCATTTATTTTGTTTTATTTGATTTTTATGGAGCCTATTGCCTTCGAGTCGTCTTGCCCTCCGCAGAAGTCGTAAGAACTAACGAGACTAAGAGTACGGTAAGCGCAACTATGGGGAAAAAATTGTGCGAGGTTACCACGCGAAAACTTTTTCCTGTTATCCGTACATTATATGAGTAGTTTTTTGTAAAATAATGCCCAATCAACTTAATCTTAACCTTTATCCTAATCCTAATCTTAATCGTGATCGTAATCCAAATCTCAATCTTAATTTTAGTCATCTTAATCTTAGTTCTAATCTTAATCTTGATCCAAATGTTAGTCTTATCGTAAATTCCAATATCACTCTTAATCTCAATCGTAATAGTTATATAAATCGTAGTCTTAATCTTAATCGTAATCTTAATCTCAATCGCAATCTAACCTTATTATATCAGTCTCAATTTTAATCTCAATCTTTATCCGAATATTAATCTTATTCTTAACCCTAATCGTAGTCTTCACCTTAATATTATTCTTAATCTCAACATTAGCCTTAATCTTAGTATTATTTTTAATCTTATTCTTAATCGTACCCAGTCACGGGCGCCATCACCAGGCACCGCATGCTTGCAATAAATCTTTGCCAACCACACGACACTGAAGACGAAGGGCTGGCGCATACTGGTGGACAAAAGAACTAAGAACTCCTATATGCTGTAGCGCTCGAAACTTCTACAGATTATCTTTAGACCACTTCCAAAGCATTAAATTTATCTACATAGCGACGGAGTGAAGCGCTCTTTAAGCAAGCCTACTAAGCATACCTTTTTCTCACTATTGAGAATCGATTGCTCTTTAATAATCAATATCAAATCAAAATAGACGCCGATTTAGTCATGTTTACCGAAAAGGCCTTATTCTAGCCATTCTAGGCATTGAAGCAGATTTCAACAACATAATATCTGAGGTGATACGAAGTGATCTGAGAGGACATAAAAGTAGTCAATGCTCTAGCGGAGTTTATAAGACAAGTGCCTTAAAGCAGGTGGTGAGAGTGAGCATGAATGAGAAACAAGTTTCGTTGCATGTGACAAAGGCACGTTTGAAGGTGGCGCGATCTCGACACTTTCCGCCTATACTAATGATGCATCAACATGGTACACATCGAGGTGGTCCAAGCGTATAGTGAATTATTGGATGGTAACCTGCCTTACATAAGGTTACCAATCTTAAACTAAACACTTAGCAAGGTAGAAAGGTGCCAACACTGCAATCCAGACACTACTCAATAAGCTTTAAATGTTTTTTTTAGATTTCCTACCACTGTATCTGGTGGGGCAATAAGTAACGGAGCCAATAATTTGACTTTCTTACGGGCTGCAACGACCGTCGTGCTCAAACTATGTTTCTAGATAGAACTTTCATAATGGAGTTCCCAAGCAGAAAAGAATGAGGGTAAGTTTTTGAACTCCGCGTGGAACTACACATTGAAATTTTTGTAGAAAACTCCACACTACATTTAAGTCTCGACAAAGCGCGCCTTAACTCCTCATTTCGATTACCGGACTACGGTCTTGTTTCCTAGGCGGAGGCTTAAGCTATTACGGTGGGTATAAAATAAACGTGGTAAAGATGTTTACATTTTCAATGACAGCCAAGTCTGAAACTCATTTAAGTGTCCGATGCCAGGCAAATAAGAGTACCGCTGCCTTTCATTGGCAGACACATCTACCTACAAAGATGCATAAGTACCATCGTCTTCGCAGGAGACAGCGCGACTTTGAAACCGAAAAATCAAGCATCGCCGAATTTGAAGCAGCGGTAAGCAGCGAATGTATTATCCGTACCTTGCTAGGTTGAACCATCTGGATTTCCTGATGAATTTACCTACTTAACTTAAAGTAGCTCCTGTTAGATGCGCTCTTTGTTTTTCTATGTCAATTCCTACTATTTTGTACTTAATAGTCGCATTCAGACATGAAATCTGGACACATTTTTCCGCTCTGCTCTAGCTGACAGCCGCGGTACCTTATATGATAGGGAAGTCGTATTCTTGTCGGGTTTTGCCTAGGGGCCATAGTGCCCGGTGATCTATACCCCTGATCTATGTATCGAGCAGGTCTGAGTTCTTCGTTCTGTAATAGTCAAGCCAGACTTTCCTGACAAGTCTATTTATGTGACCAACTCTTTTTGGCATGTCCAAAGAAGTGTAGATAAACTTATTTTTAGAATATTCCATGATGTCATCTCAATGCCACCCGTCTGATTCATCCATAAAGGTTCCTCCTTTCGCCAGCTTATCAGAACTCTCATTGCTTTCGATTTTCCTAAGACCGAGACATGGTACTGCACATCTTTACAAAAATCACAAAAACTTGCGTAAACAACTAGGGTATTCACAGAATCTTTTACAAAACCGATTCGATTTGTTTTCCATAGGTTAACTGCATGGCTTATCATGCCGGTTCGGTAAAGCCCACAAGGTGATTTTTTTACCTAAAAAGCAAGGCGATGCAAAACAAAGCGCACACTAAGAATATAAATATATCAGAGAAACCCCTACAAATCAGCACAGTTGACTTGCGGCCTTGCTTGAAGAAGTTTCATCGCATTACTTTGGGAAGCGAATATATTTAGTTCGAATAGAATTTGAGTAAAATGACTAAGTTTATTTTGGGCCTCGCGCTTTGTGGATTTTTGGTTTTAGTCGCCGCCGCACACCCTTTGCTGGAGGAGGAAGGCTACAACAATGATGCAGCTAATCGCCTAGTAGATGTTCAAGGCTGGATAGAAGAACTTCAACCGGTTGCACTGCTGGTGCGCCATGCACGTTCTCCTGACTCACGCGAGGATTCGTCTCAAGAAAATAAACGAGGTCGAGTTGAGTTGAAATACGAAGACACGCCGGAGCGTGGACGTGAAGCCACTTTCAAGTACAATCACAATTTGGCGAAAAGCGATGATGGCAGCTATAGTGTTGATGCTTATGCACAGGGCAAGCGTAATTACGATTGGAATCAAAATGATTTTCAAGGTGGTTTGGAGGGTCATTGGCATTTCAAGGGTTAAAATGCAGTAAAAGAATAAATAATGGCCTTATTCATAAAAAATAATAAAAATAATAAAATAATAAAAAAGGTTTATAAACAGAAAAATTTATGAAAACTCTCTTTAAACCTACTTTATTTTTTATGAATAAGGCCAAATATGTTTATAGCATTTAGCTACTAGAAATAGGCAAGGAATGCTATATTGAAATAAACAGCAAATATAGAAATTTCTGAGTAAAATATTACTATGCGAAGGTGAAAACTTTTCACACTTTAGCTAATTTGTTATGTATGTAAATTAGGGTAGTCCAAAAAAAAGTTAAGTCGGAATTTTAATGCGCTCTCACGCTCTACGAATATTTAATATCGAAAAAAATATACGCTTATTTTTAACCGACTTCAAAAAAGGAGGAGGTTATCAATTCGTCGGAATATTTTTTATGTATGTTACCGCAAAACTTTGGACCACGTCAACCGATTTTTATAATTCGTTTTTTTTTTAGGAAAAGGGTGTACCTCAATGGTGGTCCCATTCTAATTTTGTTTAGATCCGATCATTGGATCCTGAGGAAATTAACGGTACTCTTAAATTTTTATATGAGAATTGAAGTCGGATTTGTTTATTGCTTAAAAATTACGTGTTATATTTTTTAATCCAAAAATATGTACGGGTCGCTCAAAGAGATCAAAGTCTTCCATGTATTTTATATGAAAAAAAAAACACTTCGTAAAAATTGTAGCGAATTCTTGAAAATCAATATTCCGAATTTACTTGTTCACATGAATTTTTTGACCACCCTAATGTACATATGCGCTAATAATGTGCATACCTGTGTGTGCGCTCCGAGAGGCTGACAAACTTTAACCTGCAAGGGTGTTACAAGTGCTTGGCAAGGAGTCAAATAACCCCTTTCTACAAAAGCACAAACTCTTTAAGGTGTGGATAAAAATTTTCCAAGCTTTAGTTGCTTTAAGCTGTGGCAAAAATTTTTCCTTCCTTACAAGCTGACTTGCTGCTGAAAAAAAAATAAAAGTTATTCATGTAAACGTAACTTGTTAGTGTGCTGCTGTAAGTTTAGCGTCTGAAAAGTTCATACTTGCATTAACACGCAAACACAGTTATTGGTAAGTACCCTCTAACAAAACCATAGCGAAAAAACAATGACAGAGTGCATAGCAAAAGTACTAAAATATATACAAAGTACTGTCACAAAATCACAGCACAAAGCGGTATACCTCCAAAAAAAAAACAAAACGTAGAAAAAAATTTTCACACAAAAGTCGAAACTAAAAGGAAGAAAGTAAACAGCAGTATGAAAAAGAAAGAACGATTTTTTCATACACGATTTAGCTAAAAGGCTAGAGCGCAAAGGAAAATGCTTATCACATTGTTTCACATATTTTCATGTGCCAGGTTTTTAGTTTACCCTTTACTCCATCAAAGGTTATCGAGAGAAACTAAAAAAGTAAGAGAAACAATCTTAAGTGTGTATGTGGATATGTATAGGCGATGATGAAAACTAGTGAACACAAAGACTAGGCAAGCGACAAACAGAGGCCTGCACACCTGTTTGCAGGAATGAGTGAACAAGTCCGTCCATATATTTTCACAAATATGTGTGCTTTCTTTCTCAACATGCAGACAAGTACGGATGGTCCATAAAAATTCAATGAAATTAAGAAAAATCACTTTTTTTTTTTTATATATTCAGGCAGGTCGTGTAATTCTCTTCCGAATGAATTTCATTCACATTGAATTTGAATTCGAAGTGACTTCATATTATTGGTTTATTCGAAAGAACAAACATTCCAGTTATTTACGAAACACGATTTCGTTCATGTGGCTGCCTCGGCTGACATTACAGTAGCGCATCCTATAAACTCAGTTTTCAAGATCTTGGGGACGCTTTCTGGTTCTATCTCATGAATGGCTTGTTCGATATTTGCCCTAAGGGCCAAAATCATTAATGGAATGTTTGCATAAGGTCGGCCCTTTACGGCGCCCACTGAAAAAGTCTAACGGCTTGAAACGCCATTACCAAATTTGGCGCACAAAAGATCGATTGTTGCATAGGCTGTGTGGCATGGCACGCCATCCTGCCTGAAACCAAAGATCGTCCATGTATTTAATTGCCGATCACACAAAATAGTTTATCACGTCCCTGTAGCGCTCACCGTTGACCGAAATGGCATTTCCACCAGCATTTTCAAAGAAAAATGGCCCAATAATCCGCACCAAACTGTCAGTCTCTGAGGATGCATTACCTTTTTGAAGCGCTCCATCAGAAAATATGATTTTTTCGAGCAAAATCGTTGTCCATTTCAAGCTGAGTAATTTTTCATGGAGTATTTATTTGCATGGATAAACTGTGATGCAGGTGCGGGAATCTTTTCGACTGAGCTCTAAATCGAGAAGTCTATGTAAGAGCCAGCTTTAGCCAATTTTACAGCGTGGAAGCATTAAAATACACATATGTCATAGCCCGGAAATAGCAGAAGAATTATCGTGGACAAGTCTCTGTTTTAAAAGTCTAATGATAAAATAACTTTGGGCGCCAATTGGGTACTGCTTGGTTCTGTTAATTTGAATGAAGGTCATTATGCGTTCAAAATTGATCACAAACAGGTATATTAACACTGGACCCTGGTACGAACGATTTAAATGATTCAAAAGGACTTTGTACCATATAAATTGCCCGGCTAATTGAAGAATCCGAAAATGTGCCTACTTTGATAAAATGGTTATTAAAGTCTAAGGCTGACGACAGAGAACTTGCTACAAATTATTTGATGACATGCTTTATCAACGCAAGCTTTGTAGCTGAAACTCGCTTCTATATCCGCTCACTGTCAGACACCTTTCGAGGAAGTCATACGAAAACACTCAATAGCTTGCTAAAGCTCTATCACTTCTACCAACCACTCTGCCATCAGCCTTATGTAGAGAGAGATTATCGGAAGACGGATTTTTAATCGAGTGAAACAAATTTTGTGATAAGTAAGTCTTTTTGCCATTAGACATTAGCTTTAATGTAACCATTAGAAGAAAAAAAGTGTTATCAGACAATCACTTTTTTAAACTTCATTACCACTTAACGATTCCTTTGCGCGGTTGAGGTAGCCGTCGGCTAAAAATTACGGCCTTAAGCGCCGCCGGTGATAAACCTTAACACCTGCCGCCTTGCATTTGACAGCCTTTGTGCTGAGCCACCACTACCAACCAACCACTACGACTACATATCAATGCAACTTGTCATATTTGATTGCTTTGCACTTCAACTATGACGCTTTGGCATATTGCTCAGCAGTTGCAGCGACAGCTTTTTCGATTTCGCCTCACAAAGCTCCCAACGGCCATACACACCCATGGACATACATACATGCATATGTATTAGGGTGATTCAAAAGAAAAAACTATTTTTTTTCCACGGACGCCAAAATAAGTCTCGGAAAATATTAGTCCTTAATATTAATATTAAGAATATCCGCATCGCACTTTTCGATTGCCCATAAGAAAAACACAGGAAAATTGTTTTTTTTTTTTTTACTTCTGAGTTTTATATTTATCGAACGATACATTGTACTGTAAAGGTCTTGGAGTATTTTTGTAGAGAATTGAACGCACTACAAAAAAAGGTCTGAAGTAATTTTTCGATAAGTCAACTCGTTAAATATAAAAATCGGAAGTAAAAAAAAAAAAAATCCTGTGTTATTCTTATGGGAAATCGAAGTGTTTTTTGTTACTTCTGATTTTGGACTTTGACCTTGAATAACTTTTGACCGAGTTGATTTATCGAAAAATGACTTCAGACCATTTTTGTAGATTGTCTATTCTCTACAAACACACTCCAAGACCTTTACAGTACAACGTATCATTCATTAAATATAAAAATCTGAAGTAAAACAATTTTTGCTGTATTAAATATTCTTATGGGAATCGACAAATAAATTTTTTTTTCTGAATCACCCTAATATATGTGCAGTCTTTAAAAAAGCATATGTGGGCAAAACTACTAGTGCACTTATGGGGAAAAAATTGCTGACGCCACTCAACCGCACAAACACACAAAAATAAAGAAAAGAAAGCTAAGAAAATTTTCGAGTCGGTGCACTGTGTGTGTGCATTAGGGTGGTCCTTAAATGTATGAAGCAAATTTTTACATCAGATTTCCTAAGTCTCAACCCCTTCGTCGATACTATTATAGTCGAACATATCACAAAAATTTAGGTCCCGATTGGAGACGGTTAAGGCGTGTCGCACAGGGGTCAAAGTTCAGTTTAACCTATGAAGACGTCTTAACCGACTCCAATCGGGACCAAAATTTATATGTGATATCTGTGACCCTGGTATTGCCGATTGAGAGGGTGAGACTGAAACAAATGGTTCATTTGATTTTTAAGCACCACCCTAGTGTACATATGTACATACATATGTAATATCTGGACCGGGTTTGTAAATGGCGTCAACTTGCCTGCAGGGTGGTCATTAAATGGTCGCCGCCAAACAAATGCACACTTACACAGGACGTTGGTATGTACTATGTATGTATGTATAGATATGCGCATTTGAATGCATATGTGACACCCACCAGGTAGCGCAAAAAGGATTTCCTATACACACATGCCTTGGCACGAATGCTCTGCGAAACGTGAATGTATGCATAAACTAACCAAAGGGTGCAAACAGTGCACAATGACGACCCGGCCCCCGTACACAAGCCCATTGCCTTTGGCCTCTACATCCTGATATCCTTTAAAAGCGGGAAATATACCTATGTATATACCTATATAAGTATGTATGTTTACGTTTGTGTATTTGTGCGAAATGCTCCACCAAACGACGTAAAAGTGTTAATGTCGCAGTTAAAACATGTTGCATTTACCGTTACACCTCTGTGTGGCGCATAAAATTTAAAACGATTTTCTAAGCACATTATAGTGCAACACTTTTCATTTTTGTTTCCTACTTACCGAGTATGTATGGAGGTGCACATACTATTTTTACAGCTTTTACAGTTGGGAGCATTTATAATGCATCATAAAAAAATATTAAAACCAAATTACATACAGTGAGAGAAACTAAAAAACAATTTGCAGAATTGGTTGTTAACTACAGATTTTTGTACTGAACACTTTGGCATTAACACTTTCACTTTGATCCCTTTTAAGAGGATCACAAGAAAATTCCTTCTTTACTGTTTTGCTAAAGTTAGGTTAGGTGAGACTAGGTGGCAGCCCCGCGAGAATCACTGTAACACACGTCTTGTGTTGCCCATTGTGTTACCACTTTAACTGCGATTAATTCCCATAAGGTTGCTAAGAAAAACGCTGCCTGCTCAAAATTAAGTTCCAAAAGCAATTAATGTTCACCCTAAAAGTTCAACGGGAGTTTTGATGAAATTCGAGAAATCGTCATACCTTGAAACACGGACAGGGGTAATTTACCCAACTCGTTAACATTAAATTTTATTAAAAAAACTTATAATTTTAAATTGAAAACTGTTTATTCATTTTAATTTTCTTATTTTTTTAATTACTTAAACTTAATATATGTATGTGTATGAGTTTGCCAATAGGGCGCAATGATCCCGATGCGTCTTTTTAGGTACTTGCACTATTTAAATAAGTTTGGAACCCATCAATAAAATAGGAATGCTTTTAAATTAAATATATGCATTTTTAATAAAAGTCACGAAATATCAATTAAAAAAAAAAAATAACTGGCAAAATAAATATTGGCCGTCAAACGTGAAAATGAGTAAAATAACCTCTGACCGTCTTTCTAGTTTAAATCTTAGCACTGCAAAAACAGGGCGGCAGAAGAGCACTTGATTAAAATTCATCCCTCTAACTACTACGGCAATATGGGTCCAAATCGATGGTAAATCGTAATGAAACTCTTCCCAATTGGGTAGTGCTCGGTCAAGACTTCAGCCGGGACCAAGAACAGGCGCTCAACCAGCTTAAGATACTTTGACAGGCTGCGGTTGGCTACCGACCGATGGTTTTATAACTTTGAAATGAGGGTTTTCACCAAGCGCTCGCTTTGTTAACAAAACGCTACCCAGAACAGTTCGCTACTCGACACACGTACCTTGTCTATCTCGAGGATAACTTGCCTGGCCAATTCATCGGCCATGTAGTTTAGGGCACTGGGCATTCCAGGCCGTTTCAGCCTCATTTGGAAGTATGCCAAGGCAACCGAGAGAGAGGCCACTCATTCCGTTGCAAGTTTTTATCAGACCAGAAGCGATCCTTAAGACCTGAGTGTCCTTGGCTATCAGAATAGATATTTACCTTTCTAATCGGTATAACACTAGGACTTATCCGATCTACCGCCTACTTTGTAGCGTCCAGCTGTGCTTGAAAAATGCACAGAAATCCGAAAGCTACAATTTGGGATTAAAACGGATAGTTCCTGTAGGGACACACCTTCTCCAACTCAATCAGCCCACTAGAACCCATCCAATAATAGATATGTATACTGAACTGCTGCTCCAGAGCCTGCCACTCTCCTACTCAACCCTTAAGACGGATTCACCGTTCGTGTTAAGACCACTTTTTATTTACTCTCATAACTTTTTAGGCAGAAATGTAGATGAAAATAAAAGAATGAAATTCAGTAGCAAATCTATACCGTTTTCTTTATCAAATAAAGTACTCTCAGCATGATAAATAGATTAGAAAGATCACCGAAGTTTCCATAGGCTGGAATAGATTTACTCGCTGGTTTTTACTTTCTTTTCAGATTTTGGCAATTTCAATCCAATTTTTTCTAGTACAATAATCACGCAACTGCTATTTTATGAAACTCAAAATTTTTGAGCAAGCAACTCACTTTTTTTTTAAGTGCTAATGCATTTTGTTTAGCGCTTCTAGTGCTTCTGCGTTGTAAATATTAATTTAGTTGCAATTTACTCGCTTTAAAACTCCATAGAGAATGGAGAGCAAAAATTAAAAAAAAAAATAAAAAATTAATAAGTGAAGTGGTATAGTACAGTAGTGGCTGTTAGAGGGCCATTAGGCTATTCATTAAAAATGTAGCGTCAAAATTCAGTAGTTACACAGTTACATGCAACAGCGGCTGGGCAAGCAGGTAAGGGTTGTAAAACTAATAATAATGGCAAGCATTCTTGACAGGCTTCGGCAGAGCTTCACGCTAAATTATTATTACTTTTTTAGCAAGCTGCCTTTCAAAACTAATAAAAGCCTGCGCTTCATATCTAAACAAAAATATGTATGTATTAAAATCAAATAAGATTGTAAGTCCAGTCTTCGGCAAAAATTTGTGTTGAGTGCCACGAAGCAACGGTTATGAATTCGAATAACCGCACTTGCAAGATCAGCCTACGAAGGCAATGCAATGAGGTTAGGTAAATAAAGCGCCTAGAGCTTTTTTGGGTACTCGTTTAACCGGTTTTTTCAAGCACTGAATCTAATCGAGCGTGACATCAAGAAATTTCCGTTTGTATTTCGAATACCGGTAGGTCTTTGGGAGTACTATGTAAAGGTAGACTTGCTGCAGCATAGGTCTCCACAGTAGTCGGCTACTCTTTCGCCTTGCCTTATTTTCTGGTCACCGAAAGGCTTCATCTAAGTAAGTGACCGAAAGATGACTCAAGCAACGCCGATACAAGTAAGTCCTTTGGCAAAGCCAATGATGAAGCAGAAAGGATCTAAACGTCTCAACGGTTGGGTTAGATAAGGAAGGTGAATATGAATGTGTCGTACTCCCACTCGGAGAAAGATTTGCCCGTCATGAGTGCCCTCTGTGAGAGCCAGGACGAGGCACATCATCCTTCTAACCGAAGTTAATCCATATTGCTAGTGTAAAGCCTGTCAGACCACTTACTATCCCGGATTATGTCGTGGATGTTCGATATTTTAACCTCCGCTATCTCCCCGAATCTATTGAAAAAGCGTGATCCCAAATGCTTGAGACGCCTTTTCTAGAGAACTGGGCATCGACATAAGAAGTGGTGAATCGATTCCTCTTCATGCTCATCCTGACAACTTCTGCAGAGGGAGCTTGTTGGTGTACGCCATCGATGGAGCATTGGTGCCCTGTGATGACACCGGTAAGAGCCCTTACTGCAGATTGGTTTAGTTTAGCAGTAGGATCTTGAGACCTCACAGTCGTCCCGATTGATACAAAGGTATTCTTCAATACCTCTTAGCAGAAAAGAAATCGCTGGCAGTAGGGAGTTATCCGCTTAGCTAAATTACATTTCCCAGCCGTGTCTACGCTATGTCCAGAAACCCAGCGAAGAAAGGTTTTGACTTGACTCAGTGAAGCCAGCGACAGCCACGACATTTCCGAACTGCTTTCGACTTTACAACCCTAGAGCCTAATCTTTTCAATGCCGCCTGGCTGTCAACGAATATAGTCAAGTTTCCTGACAAAGGCTTACCTGCCCTTTTGCCTTCTCTACGGCAAATATCTCCCCCTGAAAGACACTGTAGTTATCAGCCAGGCGATATGATTTAATTATTTGAAGGTCCTTGGAGGGAGTACAGACTCGATTCGACTCCTTTTTCAATCTTTTAGCCATTGGTGTAAACGGCTAAAAACTCTGCTTAATCTTCCGTCATTCGCACTTTCTGTGGGCGAGGATGAACCACTTGAAGCATTTTTTTTTTAGTTGTGCATACAGTCAGGACTAAACCCCTTGCAGGAGATTTGATCCTGTTGGAAAGATCATGGATTAGGCCAGATAAGAGCTTTTACGTTGGACAGGTTATAGAAATAGGCACGGGGTTCTGCACGGGCATTCGGTTAACTTCTAAGCTGATCTTTTTCACTAGGTTTTCGATAGAAGCAGAGGAAAATGGCTTAAAGTCAGAATACGCTAAAAGAGACAAGGGATATCTCCGAAAAACAGCGATCAATAGACGAAAATGCGAGAGAACCTAAGATCCATAGATATTCGAACCTCATCTACATGCAGACTGCAATCTTGGCACCAATGGTTTTTAGTGAGTTGGCTATGGAACTATTTTCAAAAGCAGCGGTGGACAATGGTTAGTATGGGACGTCGATCCTAATCGGGCCCACAAAGTGATCTTTGAAAGGCAGCTCGGTCTTTCAGCGGCTGTCATCCGAAAAATGGCCAGCCGCACCTATGTAGCATTCTTCAACACCTGCATTGCTTTCCAAAGCGACACCTAGCCTAACCATTTGTGCGGTGGGATGAACAATTTAATTTCTCCAATTTCTGTTATGCAAAACTAATCTAGAAAATGCAAGCTCACGAGCAAGCGAACAAACAAATTGTGCTTCTAATCCACTTATGTATAAAATGCCACACATGCAAAACACAGAGTGCATTAATAAAATTTGCACAACGTACATGCCTGGATGACTGCCATGAACTGGTTGCTGGTTATAGCGGAGCTGCTTCCGATGCGGTGTTAGCAGAACTAGAAGCGTGCGAGTCAAACGAAAGACCAAAACCAACAATACGAAAAAAAAATCAAACAAGAAGCAACACCATTTTTGTGGCAGGTAGGAAATAGCAGCAAGCGGCGTGCAACTGTTTACGTATGTGGCGCAGCAAGGAACTGTGTATGGGCACATGGGGTTGCCGCTTAAATATGAGTCCACACTATGCTAAAGAGTGTGTTGAAAATCTCGCTAATGCTTGTTAAACATTCATGCAACAATCATGTGGTTGGAGGTCAGCGTGGTGGATGGGGCGCGCACAACACAAAAATTGCAGGCAACGGTGGACAAAATTAAAACGGTAGCTGATACTACCGCCCACTTCAAAGTATTCGTATGCTCAAAACACAGTAGAAAGGCTCGCGGCATTTAGGTATGGTTTATGCAGCCGTGTTTTTGCAACTAAAATTAGACACGGAAATTGCTTGCAACGAAACGCTCTTTGTGGCGTATATGTATGTGTGTAGGCATATAAAAACGGGCGACAGAAATTGCATTGACAGAGTCGCATTGTTCTTGGTCATTAGTTGCACACTCTGCGCGCATTTTTTGGATGCGAAATACACGTTGCTAAATTCATTTTTCGTTGGGTCGCCAGTTATTTTACAATATGTGACATAACTGCCGCCGTTGGTTGCAGGATTTGCAAATAAATGCAACCGAAATAGACAGCATTGCAGAGTTGCATAGCGGACTAATGTACATAATTGGAAAAGGGATGGGGAAAGACAGGTCTGCAAAAAAATTTGGAATATGTCATATCGCATGCAGCGACACTCATATTTACTATCGCATTTGATTGCAGGCATCTGGATATATATGCACATCTACATACCTGTATTATACAAAACGAATAGTGTGTAGTCAAATTGAAAGCTGTTAACAAATACCTTTGGAGTTTTGTGTGCGGACACCTGCACAAAAGCATTGCCTGGCTGTTAGTCAATCGTCGATTGCAATTTGCCAAATTCTAAAAATATCTTCACTAAAATTACGAGCAATAACAGTGAAAATATTGCACACGTTGGCATGCAATTTCAATCAAGTAGCGACAATGTTCGCATGGTGTCCTTTGCAGGTTTTTTAGTTATCAATGTTTTTGATAATATTTCAGTTAGGTTGCAAATGCAAAATTCATATCTAAAACGTCATTGTGGGAGTTTTTTTTTATCAGTGAGTTTGTCAACAGCACTGGTATGCAATTTTATGGTACTGACTGTAGGTGTGTGCATATGTTGAAAAATATATGCAATGCTTTGGCATTTGACGTAGCAAATGGGCATATTTTCATAAACTTTCAGAAAAAAATTTTATAATAATATTTTCGCGCTTACACTTTAGCTTAGTATTTGCTCAAGCTTCTCCACCAATTTGTCGTAGGCATCTTGATGTTCACCCTCATTGCGCGAGTCGTGTCGAATGCAAGTCGTTTTTCGAGAGTCGAATCGTATCGAAAATTTCACGTCAAAACGGAAAAACTTGGCAGCACTGTACAATTTTCATCGTTTATTTATTTCAGCACGACAGTAGACAATGCCAATGTTGTCGAGTCGTACAATTTAGCCTAATTTGCGACTTACACAATGAGGCTGGTTGTAAAACAAATGGAGGCACCTACAATTTTACGCCGCCACCCAATGGCAAATGGATTTTATGAGAAGCTTCTTCATGGCGGAAATACATTCGGAGGATTGCCATTGCCTGCCTAGAGGCAACCCCTGTTCGAAAATACTTTTTCTAATTTGAAATGTCGCCCGGACCAGGGCTCGAACGCGTTTCCTAAAACACTTTAAGGAGTTTTCATGCTGTCGCAACCTCATTTGAACCAAATTTCCCGCTCATTTACTGCTGCCGCCGTAAAAGTAGTCGGGACTTCAGCGAGCCCGAAAGGACAACGAGGTACAACGAGGAACTGCATACTGCTTTAGTCAAAAAGGTGCTGTCTACAGGGCTAAGGGTGCGTTCACACATGAAGCGGAGCCGAGACGAGCGAAGTGTTCATACAGCAAGCTTTTACAAAAGCGTTTGGGAGCTGAAAGCAAATAATTTTTTGATTTTCAATTTTCTTTTTGATTTTTCAGCTTCATGGCACTGATGCGAACAAAAAACTACAATAATAAAAAAAAAAAACAATTGAACAAATATTTTTTCCGCTTTTCATTGAACGCCAGTTTTGTGATTTCTTTACAACCGATTCCATGCAAAAAGCTCCGCTCCGCTTCGTTCAGCGTGAACATCATGAGCTCCACTTCGCTCTTTTTTGCTACGCTCACTCGGCACTCTGTGTGAACGCAGCCTAAGCTGCGATCGAGCAGAGCCCGAGCAGTACGGTATAGATTTGGGAGACTTAATATTTTCCGTAAAGAGAAGGGCCAAGCGAAAAGCTCGAAATTCTAGCGAACAGGAAACAGGAAAATCATCAAGACCGGTGCACCCTTAATTAAGTCTTCCGCACAACTGATTGTTGAGATATAAATTTTAATATATATATATATATAAATTTTTGTGATAAAACGTCTGCCTTCCAGTAGCTAAAATACTTTAAAGTTAAATAGTTTTTTCGCTAAAAATGCAAAAATACTGGTTGATTAAAAATCTATTCCCTTATATGTATTCATGAAAGGTATGTATTAGGCCTTGGGCACAGCCGAAGACAGCGCTTTCCTTGATTGTTTTAAATTACCTGTGAATGCAAGCAAACTAAAAACTTTTCCTTTGAAATTACCATACCGATTAAGTTAACTCTAAATGCCTTGCAATAATCGAGAATGCAACTTACCTGAAAAGAGAGAAAAAGAAAAAGATTACTTAGTAAACATGAAATGAATATGTCAACATGAATAATTAGATAAAAGTAGCAAAGAAAAATATGTATTCAATGCCGTTTGCAGTTTTCGGGAGTAAAATTTACTTTGGCATAGCAAAGTTGCCAAATCGTAATTCATTGCAAATATCTGTCTTAAGGTGCAGTAAAAGATGAAAATGTGAAGTTGTGCGCAACAGTAATGCGATAAATATACATACAGGTATAGCTACGGTGACCATAAATATGGATTCAAAATGAAGGACAATTTTTCAAAAATATGCCTGCATATATTTACGTAGTATAAAAATATCAAAAGAGTATTTATGATTCTAAATTCTTAATACATTTTAAACTTCAAATATTAATCACGCTTTCTTCATTGATAATAATCTTTTTTTACATGAATATTTATAAAAGTATAGTAAAACATAGTATAANGTCATGAATCGACGTAAACGACGAGTTACAAAATGCCCTTTACAAAAATATATAATTTGTGCAGATTGCGCGCCATAGCATCCACATTTCTAATCCGATTTTCATTATCTTTGGCTCAAAGTTTACTGTAATGATATATCTTCTTTATCGAATTTTTTAAATAATGAAAAAACATAATCAAATGAAACTGCGTATTTGATTGAAAATCTCACTATTTTCGCCTGTAGCACTAATAATTTTCATTGAAGTCGCCACAAGTTATATATTTTGGTAAGAGGCACATCAATACCTTTCGAGCTGTAAGTCGCTTACGTTAATTTGCAGATTTTTTCATGAGATATTGAAGAAAAGCTACGAAAAGTACCAAAAAACACTTTTTTTTTTAAATCCATCCATAATTTTAAATAATTTTAAAATAACGAATAAAATGTGGGACAAATGCAGGACACTTGGAAAAAATCAGTACATTTTAAGGTTTTTCAGATTTGAAAAACTACGCAGGACCGACCTTTGAAAAACAGTACGGTCCTGCAAAAAACAGAACGGATGGTCACCGTAGGTATAGCAGACATTATACCATCAAAGCACTGCACTTTTAGCTACAAATTGAAGACTTCAAATGGCAAAGAGTAAAGAAGAATCTGGCAAAATCACTAAGGAAGTAGTAAATTCACGAAAAGTGCGAAAGCAAAGCAAAACTGCTTTGAGTACAGCGAGAATTTTGAAGATAAGTGGCGAGTGCGGGGTACAGCGCAGAGTGCAAGTTTCTCGTAGACGACAAACAAGTTGCAAACAGATTTACAAAGTATGCAGTTTAGAGAATACGGGTAACTGGCTGCTCTAACGAACTTACGCTTAGCGCCCAAAATCTGTGAAGAAATAGAAGTTGCACGAAAGTGTAAAGTAAGAAGCACACGCACTTTGTGGCAGTGAAGATTGGCAGCAGGAGGGGAAGAGTTACAAATTTTAGAAAACTTTCTGTAGTAGCAGTGACATAGGACAAACTTATTGCGCAAACAGTACTAACTTTAACTACAAAAACAATTACAACAAACTACAAATAGCTGCTGACAACAAAAACGAATAAATGTATATCTGTGATGATGAATGAAAACTTTTAGTAACTTAATTTTTTTGGGCTATGCACTTGCATACAAACGTATGTAGGTATGTACATATGCATACCTAAGTGGAGCAGTTGTGATAAAACGAACTGTGTTAAAGCTCATTGCAAGGAACAAGCGCGCTGAAGTTGCAAGGTAACAACCGGGAAGAGAGAGGTAGTGCGAACTGCTGGTGCACTGCCAGGCAGTGAGTTAAAAAGTAGCAACTTCACTGAAGGCACATTAGGATAATTGAATTTGAAAAAGATTGGAAAATTGGCTGACTTATTTATTTGTCGGACTTGTTCACATACATATGTAGCTCACTGACCAAATCAGCGCTGGCGAGTGCAACAAATTGATTAAATTAACTTTTACTTACGATGGAAAACTGACCATAAAATGAAATTAATAAGTACGTACTGCCTGGTACGGGGGCATTAAAGTTTATTATTTTTAGTTTTTTTTTAGTAATATTTTGTTTTCATATTTTTCAATTTAAAAATGTTCTACTCTACAGTTGGTCCAATTTGTGTCGGAAATATTGCAATTATTACAAGTGGTTGTGGAAAATTGCAAACAAAAAATTGTGCACTTATGTAATACGTACAATATATATAAGAATCAGTATGAAAGGTGCATACACTTATACACAAAGAGAATACATTTTAAATTTAAGTGCTTGCGTTAGGGAGGGTGCAAGTGAACGTTAATCTTTCGCAACTTAACTCTGAGCTTCCAACATAAAACGCAAAAAAAAAGCAGAAGAAAAATTATAAATATTTTCCATTTTGTATTTTCTTCATTTGCTAATTAATTTTCTTAGATTTTATGTACGTAATAAAAATTTAAAATAGAAATTTAAGCAGTTTCATTGAGTCATGCCAATCATTATTGGTCCTTAACGGAAAAGAAATTATCCAAATTTGGAGGGCATTCCAGGAACATTTTAGAGCAAATTTAAATCGTCATCGTGCAAAACAAAACGAGTTAAAGGTTCTTATAGCACTGCAGGAATGCTCAAAAAAAACGCCGATACGCGTAAACTTATTTTTGGACATAGATTACGGATCTATTTATTTTCATTGTGAATGAAAAGAAATTCAAACTATAACAGGGAAAAAAAGTAATGACATATTCGTACATGGCGTATGAGTAACATTGTTCTTTCCTGCTCGTATTTCATACAAAAAAAAATAAAAAAATTATAAGTATTTTCATTTGACCAATCACAACTTTTTTATTTATCCATCGAGTTTCTTGGTTAAAAAGAAAAGGCTTTAATATAAATGAAAAAAAAAAAAATCTGTCATAAAACTGAAAATTTCGCATAGGGACACAAGTATTTAGGCTACTAAAATTTACACAACACGTTTTATATGGCCATTCGGGAAATATTTTTTCCTTTCTGGTTTAAAACCCATATAAAAACATTTCGTTTAACTTGTTTTGAATTTCTCAACAGGTGGCAGCCCCTTTCCAAAACATCAATAAAGAACAAAGGTCTTCTTAAATTCTTTTCGAGTGACACCTTTCTGCATGTGCGGGTATATTAAAATGTTTTAAATAAATGTATGAATTAAATTGACCCTCTTCAACTCTTTTCGAATTATTTAAAAAATAAGTGCAATGTAAAATAAAAATATGGGTATCAAATAAGAGAGAAAATTTTGTAGAATTTAAAAACAATAAAGTGTTTTGGTTTACAAGGATGAATAGGTATTAAAAATGCGCTTTTAATAAATTTTATCATTTTTAAGCTAATAAAGTTTGCTGGACGAAAGCCGATGATGAGGTCCTGTGCATATTAGTCCTTAAACAATTATTTAAAAAGAAAAAAACAGTACTGCAAATTTTCAAGGATATTTAAGCACAAAATTTTTAGAGGACATTTTCCATACCCATTCGTCCTAATGCACCAAAAAATTTATTCTGTTAAAATTCTACAGAATTTTTTCTTTTATATGACACCCTTATTGTTAACCTACATAGCACCGAATTTTTAAAATAATTTTTTGAAACAATCATATTTTTTACATTTCAAAGTCCTTTTAAAAAAATCCTGATGTAGTTTCGCGAATATATAAATTTTTTTGTGTGTAAAATTTACTGTCGCACGGTGTTATCAGTAAAAGCAGTTTGGAAGAGCTCAAGCTCACTTTAAGATACTTATCCGCATGAGAAGTCGCAATAGCGAAATTCCTGACGACAGCTAGTCAGACTATCAATCTTCCCACACACTTTACATTGTTATTGAAATTTTTTAAACTTCATTCTCAATTGCCGTAACGTGCCTCTACCAACCCTAATACGCATCTATGTAAGTAAGCTTTCAGTGAACCATTTGCATATCCAATGACAACTGCCAGATTCACACATAAATATATGTTTGTGCAACATTAGCTTAATTTAGAGTACAACCAGTAATAATGCATTCCAAACATTTTCACCCTACGTACAGCAGCAATTTTCCCCGCATTCGACAAAAACTAGAATTGAAAGATAGATGCTCTTAATATGCAACACTCAGCCATAAGAGCAATCATTAATTTATGCAAAATGTGTTGTGTATAATCGTTATGCCAAAATGTGTCGATAGTATATGTATGTTGCTCCGACATGATGTGCAACAAGCTAATGCATATACATACATAAAACATATCCTTTTAGCTAACAATTTCACAACAGAGATATAAATGACAGCAATCAACCAACAAAAAATACATACAATCATTTTTACTGAAGCATGTAAATAGAAGCCAGTTAGGTAGACAATTATTTTCAATTATTACAACTTTTATAACTAGAAAGTATGTATGTATGTATGTATGTACACTATTCCACTTGAAAGTCATATAGACATCTGTAGCACTAAAGTAAGTATTAATAAAGCAAAGAGTTCTGAAAGTATTGCTTCCGACGTTATGAGTGCAACTCTTCTATGATGTCACAACAGGTGTGTCAATGAGCGCCCTAGCATGAACCCTGAATATAGCGAAGCCAAATGTTTAGATATTACCCCTGCTAAGAGGCTGAGTTAAAGCTTCAATCTAGCTAAAATTATAAGTAAAGCATTTATGGACTCTGCCGATGGCTAACTATGTTTCAGGGCAAGATGTTGGCAATCTAGGCCTGAGGCAGAAACAACCTGGACAGAGGATCTCTTACATACACAGCACAGCGCAGGCGAAGAAATGGGGAGTAAGGATTCTGTACCTTTAATGAAGCCGGGAACAACAGGTCGCAGTCTTCGAGGTTGTTTGTTTGAGTGAATTAACTCTATACATAAGTACTGAGGAGTGGTAGGCGCTTTAGAAAGACCAGCCTCTTTGGTTATCCTCTTGCGAGGAACGGTACCTATTAACCTGCTAAAATGCTAAATGAAGCTAGTATCTAGACCTAGAAGAAGAAGAAGAAGAAAATAGACAAAACCATTAATGCCATTACACGGTTTTAAGTAGAAGATTAGACTTGCTTGGCGGTTCGACTTTTCAACGCCGTGCAAATAATCTCAGAGCTTCAGAAACGATCATAGAGTCAACAAATATCGAAATACGAGCTACCAATACTTCATATGGTATGAAAATAAACTTCATTGTCTTATGTGTGGGGAAGTATCCTTCCAACCTAGCCAAACCTAACCGAGGAGTTTGTCTACCCAGGCATTTACAGCATTTATTTGGGCAGTTGAGGATAGCTTGGCTTGACACTCAGCACCAGAATACAGATTATCTGCACTTTTAAGTTCACGTATCAGATTTTCTAGTACTACATTTTTGCTAGATTGGGTTAAGGTGATAGGCCGGACTATTGATGAAATTCAAGCCAAGGAGTTTAAACTTTAATCTAGCGGAAGCCGTTCAACTGAGACGGAAGTGCTGAGATGATTTCACCTCGCTGTCATTCTCCCACTCGCCTCATGGAAATATGTGAGTAGAGAAAGATCCCTAAAACTGCGGTAACTTTACCCGCACTGATGCCTTTTTACTCGCTCTTCAACATTTGGCTTCCACGCCCAAGACCTTGAGCCTGGCACTGAGCACAAGTGAAACGCAGGGGGCGAATGAACCTGGGTATAAGGCACTTTGTATCTTCCGCCAAGTATGTAGTACGAGCTCCGTCTTTCCATGATTAACAGCAAGTAGGCAGCTAGCTGACCAATTCGCCACGTACGTTTACGTACCCTTGCATCGGATCGTACAAAGTGTCTAAAAACTTTCCTCTGACGATGATGTTTTTTTACCACGACGATCCGAGGAAAGGGTGAGAGAACTCCGGCCAATATAGTTAGAAAAGTTGCAGCAGACCTAAACAAAAAATTCAAAAATTACGATGGACGTTCTTAAAGAGGATTATGGACTAAGATACAGCTTAACCCCAGCTCTAATGGCGACGTTCATGTTGGAGAATAAAAATGAAAAAGCAACAAGTCTAATAGCTAAGAAGCAAAATATGTAGGGTTTAAAGCTGCCATTAAGAAGTAAGCGCATATTCATATACTCCGCTCCGAAGTTGAGCTTAAAGGACGAATAGTGAGGGAAGCAACATATGACAGCCCCCTTCCACATGTACATAGAAGAAAATATGCCAGAAGTTTGTGGTACTGCAACAGCTGCTTTTCAAGTCTCATTCACTCAGCAATGCCGTGCAGGTAACCGTGAATTCTTCAAGCATATGCACATTACCACATGGATTTGTTAGGCGACGAGTGTGTGCGCGTTGCAACAGCTTAGCGTTATGTGAGGCAAGCAATCTTTGGTTTATGACTGCGACTGAACTCAG